CAATTCCTCGGTCGTCGACACTCTAGATTATCCATGATGGAGTCTAGGCCTTGTTGTGTCCATATGTGCATTCATTCATATTGAATCGTGCAAATTGACTCCTCGGCCATCATGTATCGAGATGCGTGATTGGTGGCACGAGGATCGAGGACTACACTCCCCGAAGAGTAGTCATGCATACATATGTGAAAATACTTTGCCATGTCCCTTTCTTGCTTTCTGTTACAGCAAATCAAGAGTCAGCAGCCTTCCGGAGCTTGGCACGCATCCCAAGAACAATTGCAAACAGAGGCTAATTGGGGCATCACAATGGATTTCCGCGCAAGGCAACCCGAACATGCATCATTCAGCATCCGGATCAGAGTTGAGACAATCCCTGGCTCGCATGCCAATTTATTGTTTTCCTAATTTAATTTGTTAATTAATTAGGATTTTGTAATTATTTAGACTGTAATTATTTATTCGGGACTGTATTATTTATTCGGACCCTCTGCGCGAGGGCAATGTTGTAATAAGTGTGCGTGTGTGTGATGTATGTCTTCCAACCCCACGTCTTTCTCCCTTTTATTTACCAGCCTCACTTGTGTTTATTTTTGAGACTTTATATAAACTGTAAAGTGCCTTGTTTTGAGCCCCTCTTAAACTTTGTTGAAGGGATCTCATCTGTTTGGGGTCAGCTGCTGTCCCTTGTCTCTAATCTCTCTTTTAGGGCCATTTTTGCATAATAGATTAGCCCTATTTGTGTTCACTTTTGAGATCTATTATAAACTAGAAAAAGTCTCATTTTGACATCATCTTCATGTTTGATTAAGGGAATTTTCTTGTTTGAGGTCATATGCTTCCTTTTATGCTTGAATTATCTCTTATTTTGAGCCTTACACCTAAGCTCTTGTTGCATGCTAGTTGCGAAGGGCAATGGGATCACAACTGCTCGGCTGTGCGGTGTCAAGTTCGGTGTTGACCAGTTCATCTCGGTTGAGAATCCGAAGAGATCAAAGCAATCAATCAAAATGCTCAGTCAAAGAAGACACTTCTATATATTGACAAAAAGAATTACATTCTGAAGTGTAAGGCAAAAAATTCCTTTGCACAAAAAGAAAATAAAAGCTAGAAATAGTACAGTTTGAGGTTGGCCGCATTCTATGGCCTGGGTATTCCTCTACCATCGAGATCCTCCAAGTGGTATGCCCCCTCGCCCGCCAGACCGGTTATCTTGTAGGGTCCTTCCCAATTTGCCCCTAGTTTGCCTTCACCTGGCACCAGGGTGTTGCTCGTAACTTTCCTCAAGACCCAATCACCCACCTTAAACGGTCTGGGGTGCACCGTCTTGTTGTACTTCCTAGAGAGCTCTTGCTGGTAGGCGGCCACATGGATAAGAGCCTCCAAAATAAAATATTTAGGTGGCGACTCTGTATCTGGCAAAGCAGTCCATGTTTGGCACTTCTTTCAAAATCTGTTTTCTCAAAACGATTTGCCGGATTTGGACTCTTTGGTTCAGATTACGAACCGTGACAATTTGAGAGTCCTGAGCTGTAGTGAGCCCAATATCGAACGGAACGGGGACCTCGTCCTCCCGGGGCGTTCGGCGACGTCTACAGCGTGGAAGCGCGTGGATCCGCTAGGCGGCGTCATATAGCGTGTGAGTCACACGCGCCGCCTTCCAGGGTATTTTCTGGTCTAATTTTGGTACTGCTGGACTCCATTTTTCACAACAAAAACATTTATGGTTTTAAAAAAAAATTTAATGAACATGAAAATGAGATATTTTACACTCTCAATCTAATGGAAGTGAAAGTGCAGAAACGCTACACTTCATCTTACTCCTTCATTAATTTTCATGCATATACCGTGTATATATATTTATATAAAAATATACACATATTTTAATACATAAAAATAAGCACGAAAATACCCATATTGGCTTTGATACCAATGTAAAATATAAAGTATTATAACGCAGCGGGAAAAACATTTAGATCATACCTTTAGGTGATAGAATCTCGCGGGTAAATCACGTGCTTCCAGAATCTGAACAACGAACCCAGCAGTGGAGTGATACTACAAAATGAGTATCACCCACACAAGTCACAGTGCAAAATGGTTTGATCGTTGTTTAATGGGAGAGAGACAGAGAGAGAGTCTGGAAAAAAAGGTTATGGATAAAAACCACATAACGTATCTGATATACATATATGATATATCAATATATTATCTAAAATATATAATCAGATATATAACCACCAATATCTATCTATCCATCTATTGATATGATAGATATTGATATCCTGAATGGTTATCCTAATAAATTTTAAATTCAAATTCAAACTTACATGGATAAAATTCAAAAGGTTCAAATTCAAAAGGTTCAAAGAGTCATGCCACATAGACGCCCAATTTCTAACAAAAATTACATGGAATGTTCAGGTGTCATCAAGTCTGTTTGTCTTAGTGTTTGACTACATGAAAACACGTCAAAACAAATAAATTTGAGAAAATTATTTAAAAAAATAAAAACTTAAGGTTTGACTTATATAATAGAATAAATCTTTAATTTTTATTTTTTTTTCAATTTAAATTCAAAATTCTGATTTGTTTTCAATCTAAATCATCAATCTATTTTCGTTAAGTAAACTAGCAAAAAAGGGCATTTTAGGGTAATTTGAATTTTTTTGTTATTACAAAAGTTAAACTTTGAATTTTTATTTTTATTTTATTTTTTGTAACTTTTTTGATGAATTTTTTTATACAACTTATGTTTGAGTCTCAATTTAGTTTGGTTTAGGTATAACCTAATTAGAGATCCAACTCAATTCTATCAAGTTGATGATTTTAAAATTCAAAATCAAATCAATGTATTGAAAACGTCGAACCAATCCAACTCAAAAGATTGGGATATTGTACGTCGCAAGGTGCACCAAAACCTAAAATAGGAAATAGTTAAAAAAAAATAAAATGTTTGGTTTGTTTTTAAAAACTTGTTTAATTTTTTCTAATTAATTTAGTGAAAGAAATAAAAAAATAAAAAATAGTTATTATTTCTATATAATTTTATCTTTTAAAAAATCAGAAATAAATTATATTTTTAATATTTATTTTTATTAAACTAGTTTCCATTTTTTGAAAAAAAAAATTTTGAATTTTTTTTCTAAAACAAAACGAAAACCAAACATGGCAAAAAAAATAAGGGTTCCTACCTTGATTTCAATATTGCTCATGAATGCAGTTATTGTATTCAACTTTTTAACAACCAATACCAAACTTTTCTATGAATTAGGGCTCATACATTTTGATTCAGACATAATACAAATTAAATTTTGTTCATTCTCTTATCAGGTTTGGTGAACATTAAACCAACTAGGCCTAATCTTATTGGCCACCATACCTTCCTTAGGGCTTAATTCCAAGGAAGTCATGGGTTCAATTCCTCTTAGTAGATTGAACTAAGAGAGTGCAAGCACTTAGGTGCTTTGTCAAGAGTGGGGAGATTTTCTTTCATAGGTGCTAATCTAATAACTAACAACTAACATTTGTCGATTAAAAAAAAAAAAAAAAAAAGGTTGGTGAACATTATTCACTTCCCTGATTAGTTCTTTTATTGCAGTTTACTGCTTTGTACTTCACTTAAAGCGAAAGAAAGAACCAATCAGAGAGGATTGTGGAATTTTATTCACACATCAAAAAAATTATTTTCACATGATACTAATATAATTTAATTTTTTGGATACAAAATTTTATTCTAACAATATCTCTCATAAAATCTTGCTCAATTTCTGGAGACATGAAATAATCTCATAAAATTATAGGTTGTTAAAATAACATGCTTGAGCTTAACCTCAAGATTTGAGCATAGAACATGCAGAGCCATGCATTTTATAATGAATATATCAGATTATACATCTCACCAACTCCATATTTTGTTTCTTTTGAAAATTAATTTATAGAAAGATTTGCATGTAGTAATCCTTCAAGATCTCAACAAATTAATTTTAAAATGCATTATTCTTGTTCCAAGAAGTTAACTTGGGCCACTGGACAGATTAGCACAGACCTCAAAGTATTAGTAAATAGTAAATGTAAGTGTACCAATTTTTTTTTTACGGCTTAGAGTTTGTGATACAAATGTGAGATAAATGATGAATTTCTCACATGAGACCCACAAGTAATTAACAAATGTTATATATTCCAATGGAGACCAACTCTTGGTAATGCCACTAAATAAAGAAAATATTCACCTGTCATGCAGAAAATGCATTGTTTCAGCAAGAAAATATAAATACATTTTTGGCATTTCTCTTATGGTGAACTACAAATGATTTATAGATGAATACATGTTGTGCTTATTACGAAAAGATACACAGAAAAACAAACAAATGATTTATAGATGAATACATGTTGTGCTTATTACGAAAAGATACACAGAAAAACAAGAAGAAGGGATGATATGATTTAAATAAGCTAATAAGTAAATAAGCAACTTATTTATGGTGTTGCCACAACAGGAAAATTAGCTTTTACCGGCGTTTAAAAAACGTCTCTAAATCTATCAAAAACGCCGGCAAAACTTATACCGACGTTTTAAAATTACGTCGAGGACGCGGCCGTCGCCGTAACTTAGCGACGTTTGATAAACGCCGTACAAGATCTTTTACGGCGCTTTTTTAAACGCCAGCATAGGAGCTACCGACCCACAAATAACGTCATACTAACGTATGGTGGCGTTTTTATTAAAACGTCGCTAAAAGCTATTTTTTTCAAAATAAAAAAAAATCTGAACCTAATCAGAATTTTTTCCAAATATAGATTCCTTCCTCCAAAAAAAATATAAAAAAAAACCTATAACAAACAAAAAATAGAAGAAAAATAATCAGGCACATAAACTAAAAATAAGCCAAACAAGTTTAATTTCTCTTCCAGATGGCTACAATTTTACATTTGACAAACAATAGAAGAAAAATTGTAACATTTCCTGCCTATTTATATTTACCACAAACCATACCCCATAAAAAAATGTTAATGCATACCCCAGAAAAAATGTTAATGCATACATACCAACATGACATTAAGATACAGGACTTTCGAATAAAAACCAATCAAATGAATCAACTTAGCCCATAACTCGAAATATGGCGAAAAAACAAACATCGAAGACAATGAAGCAAGATCAGAACATCAGCACCACTAACAGAATTTAAAGAGCTTGAATAAGCTTCTCCGTCAGAGATTTTGGAAGTCCCATAACAAAATCAATTGCCCCTACCTGCAGGAGAAAAGGAATAGATGCGCATGTTGTGAGAAATCAACCCCATCAAATGATGCAAGTAACCAACTCACAAACAAATTCAATGAGAGGAATTCTCAATCATCTACATAATTACTCGGATACAAATTGGATGAGAGGAATAACAAATTGGATGACATGCTTACCACAGTGTCAACAAAGGGCAATATCAAAGGATGTTCAAGCATCAAACCTCCAGCAACATTGAGCATAACTCGCCGCATAGAGTAGGCATATTATATAAAAAATTACAAATAAAATCCATATATTTTTTGTCTATTTTTACCGGGCTATCAATAACCTCATTTTGTATGTCGTGGAAATAAACCTACACCAAACACCAATAACTAATTTTCCAAAGTCAATGTAACTTAAAAGGTAGAAATATTATGTTTCCAAATTCTTGAAAGTAATACATAACAAGAAAATTTATTATTATTATTATTATTATTATTATTATTATTATTATTTTAAATTGTTGTTGAACCATTTATTTGTTTTTCAAGTGTTTCATAATCTCTAACTGTCAAATATGTATGCCATAGCCAAAGGTATGCATATAAGACAGTTTTTATGGAGCAAACTGGTATAAATGCTGTATTTGAAAATATAAAACTATATATTATAGGCATTCCTAATGTCAATTTGTCTTTGTCAATCTACAATAAGAGTTTAAGGAAAACAAGAAGGAAAAAGAATAGAGAGAGGGAGGGATACGGATCAGTTAAGTTCTAATTTACAGAAACTAGAAAAGACGGCTTACATCATCCTCGCCAACAAAATGCCTTCATTGATGATTGGGCACATCATTCAAACATGCAGGAATTGCATTCTTTGTAGAAACAAGTATGAGCTTGATTAGCCTTTGTATTCTACTCATTAGAGCAGCCTTGGCTTCCTCCTCTTCCTCTAATCTTGACTGCATTTTCACTTGACCTTCTTCCAACTGTTATATCAATAACAAAAGGTGAACATCATATGAGAACATAAATCTGCATAGCCAGTCTCACTGGAAGATTGGAAAATCAAAAACTAAGAAAAAAACCACCATTACATGTCAAACAGGTTTGGTTCAATGTTAGTCAAACAAAGCCAATTCCATACAAATGCAGAATATAAAAGATTTGGAAGGAAACCTGTTGTCTTAAGCTAATAATCTCCTCATGACTGATCCAGTTCTAGTTTGAGGCTTGATATTTCTCTTTGATACTTTTTAATCGAAGACTTTTCATCAATAATCTAGAAGAAGAGAAATTTTATAAATCAGCAAACAATGAACTGTATATAAAGTGAATTCTTCTTGAAATCTAGCAAATGTCTCCCTTGTGGGTTGGGGGGTCTTGTCTTTACCATATTTTTAAGTGATGGTCATGGTTTGATAGCAAATGGTTGAGGTTTACCCCCCAAAAAAACCCAAGTATGAACAACAAATAGGCTCAATAACCATCACTAGTTGCAGACACAATAACAACAGTGAATATATTTGATTCTTTAGCTGTAACACCAGCATATTCCAGGGTATTACTAAGTTTGTATGAAATTATAATACTAGGTTGCGACTGCAAAACTTGTTCAACTCTAACTTTAAATGGCCGGCAAACTCCTTCAAAAATCCTGTCTAGAACAAACGTCAAGTCAGTCTCATTTTTTCCTATATCACTCTCTAAACCTTTGGAGGAGAATCGGCGTGCAGTCGGGCCAGTATCAACCACTGCATCTGGATCTAGCAATGCAAGGACAAGTTCTCTTTCAGATGCCAATGCCTGCAAGAAAAGCGACAGAATTATGCCATAAGGTAATTCTTACACAATAAAAACAGTTTCAGCTCTCAAAAGATTGAAAGTAGAAACAAGGGAAAAAAAATAAGGAATGTGTGCCACACCTGATGTAGCCACCCTAGCATGTCACCTACATAACGTAAGGGATCATGAGCATGTACTTCAATGGGTCTGGGCATTCCACCAGGTCCTCCACGGGTAAGAGCACTTATAAACCTCCTAAATAATGCATTATGCCTCATATTTGCCACCTGTATGATAACAATGGAAATGTGTATGTAAACTGCTAGGAAACTCTATGGATTTTGTACAATTTTTCTTATGATTTGGTCTGGACAATATTTAAACAAATATGAATCATCCCAAAAGAAATTCTTTACTTCAACCAAAAATTGCCTTCTGTCTTCTGCACTCCATTAACTCGGGATCATGCCTGTAACAAGTTAATTAACAATATCAGCATACCAAGGCAAATCAGTAATAGTAAACAATTGCTCATCAGGGAAAGTATCCTTTATGGGCATTGTTTCTATTTAGTCATCAAACACAAGTCGAGACAAATGATCCGCCACAACATTTTCTACTCCTTTTTTGTCTTTAATTGTGATGTTGAATTCTTGGAGTAGAAGGATCCACCTAATCAAGCGCGGCTTAGCATTCTTCTTGGCGAGAAGGTACTTTAAAGCTGCATGGTCAATAAATACAACAATAGGCGATCCAACTAAATAAGCACGAAATTTGTCAAGAGCAAAAAAAAATACTACAGCTAGCAACTCTTTTTCTGTGGTAGAGTAGTTCATTTGGGCATTATTCAAATTTTTACTAGCATAGTAAATGACATATGGCTTTTTGTCTAGGCGTTGTCCCAAAACAGCTCCAACTGCATAATCACTAGCATCACACATAATTTCAAAAAGTAAAGACCAATTAGGTGGTTGCATGATAGGGGCAGAAGTAAGCATGGTTTTCAATTTTTCAAAAGCCTCTTGATATTTATTAGTCCATTCAAAAGGTGCATCTTTTAATAAGAGATTACATAATGGTCTAGATATGGTACTAAAATCCTTAATGAATCTCCTATAAAAACCTGCATGTCCTACGAATGGTCTAACATCTTTAATAGTCTTGGGGGTAGATAGATTTGCAATTAACTCAATTTTAGATTTATCTACCTCAATTCCTTTAGAAGAAACAATGTGTCCAAGTACAATCCCAAAAGTAACCATGAATTAGCACTTCTCCCAATTTAACACAAGGTTCTTTTCTTCACACCTAGACAAAACTTTATGTAAATTTGTTAAACAATCATCAAAAGAAACTCCAAATACAAAAAAATCATCCATAAAAACTTTTAAAAATTGCTCCACCATATCACTAAAAATACTCAGCATGCACCTTTGAAAAGTGGCTAGAGCGTTACATAATCCAAATGGCATCCTTCGAAAAGCAGAAGTACCAAAAGCACATGTAAAAGTGATTTTTTCTTGGTCCTCTAATGAAATTTCAATTTGGTAATATCCCGAGTACCCATCTAGGAAACAATAAAATGCATGTCCAGCTACCCTTTCTAAAAGTTGGTCCAAAAATGGCGAAGGGAAATGGTCTTTCCTAGTCATGGAATTTAATTTTCTATAGTCAATGCACATACGCCAACCTGTAACAACACAAGTTGGAATCATCTCATTGTTCTCATTTTTGACCATAGTTATTCCATTCTTCTTGGGTACTACTTGTGTGGGACTTACCCATTTACTATCAGCTATGGGATAAATGATCCCCACATCTAATAGCTTAAGGACCTCTCCTCTCACAACATCTTTCATTGTAGGATTCAACCTACATTGCATCTCCCTCGAAGGTTTGGCATTTTCTTCCAAATAAATTCTATGAGTGCACACCAAGGGACTAATTCCTTTAATGTCTGCACTGGTCCATCCTATTGCCCCTTTATGTTGTCTCAAAACATTAAGTAATTTACCTTCTTGCATAGAGTCAAGTTTAGAAGATATTACCACTGGATATGTGTCCTCGGGTCCTAAAAATGCATACTTCAACTCTGTAGGCAAAGGTTTCAACTCAAATTTTGGTACTTGTTCACTTAGAAAAGAGTATAGGCCTAAATCTTATAGCTCTGATACCATGTAAAAATATATGTATTATTGATTGATATTTGATGATTGATATATATTATTACAAATCAGAGTAGCTCATTATATAGGAGAGGGTTTGGGTAGTAGGTGAGGAGTAGGTGAGGGTAAATTGGTGGTAGGTGTAGTAGGTGTGGTAGTAGGTGGTGGTAGGTGTAGGTAAATTCTAACAGCCCCCCGCAAACTCAAGGAGGATAGAAACTAACCAACTTGAGTTTGGAGAGAGTTACAAAACAAGAAAATACATAAAAATAAAAGAGGATAGGAGACACTGTATGGTCGTGTCAGACCATTGGTGAAGACACTGAAAGGTGGTGCCATAACGTGGTAGAGGACACTGGAGGAGTGAAGTGGAGGTGGTAGGTGGAGTGTGTGATAGTGGAGGTGGTAGGTGGAGATAAATTCTAACACACTTGTAGTCTTTCAATTCCGGTGCAGATTCCAATAAAGAATAAATGTAAGCAATTTTTGAATCTTCATCAAAATCACAAGGATTAACTAAGCAAGATTCAAGTGGATCAGAAAAATAGGAGTTATTGAAATGCTTTTCAACAAATGTATCGATCAAGTTCACTTCCTCAATCTCATCACCATCCCTTGGTTGTTTGCAAATATTGAAAATATTCAGCTCCAAAGTCATATTACCAAAAGACAATTTCATCACACAATTTCTACAATTAATCAACGCATTGGAAGTTGCAAGAAATGGACGACCTAAAATGACAGGAATTTGTGTATGCAAAACAGGATGTGTGTCCAATACAATAAAATCGGCAGGGAAATAGAAGTTATCTATTTGAACCAACACACCTTCCACAATTCCCCTCGGTATTTTCACAGAATGGTCTGCAAGTTGAGGTGCAATGGTAGTCGGTTTAACTCTCTAAGACCTAATTGTTCATAAACTGTATATGGTAAAAGGTTCACACTTGCCCCAAGGTCAAGCAAAGCTTGCTCTATCCTATAGTTCCCAATCACACAAGAGATTATGGGGCATCCTGGATCCTTAAACTTTGGTTCACCTAATTGTTCATAAACTGTATAGTTCCCAATCAAAAAGGTTTTCTTTTGTATATTAAGCTTTCACTTGACTGTACACAAATCTTTCAAAAATTTGGCATATGACGGGATTTGTTTTATTGCATCCAACAGGGGGATGTTAATTTTGACTTGCTTGAAAAGTTCAAAAATTTCAGCATTATGACTTGATTTGTGAGGGGGCTGCAATCTTCGAGGAAAAGGAGCAGGAATCAGACATCTCATTTCTTCACTTGGCTTGGACTTGTCAATATCATCACCACTCTTTAATTTTGAAATATCCTTAGGCTTTGGGGCCTTCATAGGAATCGTTTTATCAATAATTTTTCCACTGCGAAGTGTAGTAATAGATTTGACATGTGCAAGCTGAGTGTCAGAAGTTGAAGAATCACTCACACCATATTGTCCTTGTGGGTTTGTTTGAGCTTGAGAAGGAAATTTACCTTTTTCTTGAATGCTCAATGAAGATGTCAATTTGGTGAGAGTGTTCTTAATGTCATTTATTGCCTGAGATGTCTGATTATTTATCACTGTCTGGCCTTGCATGAATTGTTGCAATGTATCCTCAAGGTTATTTCTTTGGCGGGGGAGCACATGGAACAAAATTAGAATGTCCTTGAGGTTGTGGGGGCAGTGCAACATTATTACTCCTCCAACTAAAATTTGGGTGATTCCTCCGTCCTGGATTGTAAGTCTCAGAATAGAGGGATGAAACAGGCTTTTTAAAAGTGTTTATAGCATTTGCTTGATCATGCAACACCTCCTTAAAAGCTGGAATAGTTGGACATTCATGTGTTAGGTGTCCAATGGTCTCGCAAATGTCACAAACATTTTCTCTTTTAGGCACAGTTGTTATTTCATTAACCTTCCTTAATTCCATGGCCTCTACTTTTCTGGTCAAAGTAGCTATTCTTGCACTTAAATCATCTTCATCTTTTAGTTGGTACTTACCACCACCAGAAACTGTAGAAGAAGGCTTGGTTTTACTAGAATGTCCTAGAGTATCAGTGGTATCCCAAGATTGGGCATTCTCTACTAGTAAATCAAAGTACTCAAAAGCTTCATCGGGATCTTTATTCAAAAATTCACCGTTACACATCATCTCTACGAATTAGCGCATTTGAGGAGTCAAACTTTCATAGAATAAACCAATAACTCGCTAATGTTCGTAGCCATGATGTGGACAAGAGTTTAACAAATCCTTAAAACGTACCCAACACTGATAAAAAGTTTCATTTTCTTTTTGAGAAAAATTCATGATCTGTCTTTTCAAAGAATTTGTTCTATGTATTGGGAAAAAGTTCTTTAAAAATTCAGTTTGTATCTCTTGCCAAGTGCTTATTGATCTAGATCAATGAATTTAACCATGTTTTTGCCTTATCTTTTAGAAAAAAAGGAAATAACTTCAGCCTTACAGTCTCCTCACCATAGGTTTGGTCAAGAAAAGTAGCACAAACTTCTTAAAATTCTTTAATATGCAAGTAAGGATTTTCAGAGTCAAGGCCATGAAATCTAGGAAGTAACGCAATCATACCCGGTTTAAAATTAAAATTATATACATTTGGAGGAAAAATAATACAGGACGGAGCACTGCTCCTTGTGGGTTGCAAATAATCACGCAAGGTTCGGACAGGTTGGGCCATTTGAATTTGATTTTCATTACTACCATTATTTGCCATCGTGTCAGGTGTGTGAGGGTGTACAAATAAATTAAATTCAGACTCAAAGAAATTACCAAACAATGTATCTGAATCAAAATCAATGCTCACCAACCGACCAAGATGATCATGATACCAAATATGCATGCAACATAAGCAAACTCTTTTTTATATGTGTGTAAGATTTCTGAAGATTATGTATTAAGACTTATAAATACCTCAGCTACCTAAGTGTTTTAAATAAGTGAAATCAAATATTGAGAGTGAAGAATTTTTCTTCCTTCTTTCAATCTTTATAGCATTTGTGTGATTTCTAATATCTGTAACAATAACATGGCTTTAATTATGATGTTTTTCTTCTTTCAATTATTACACGATTTGTCTTGTGCGACAACCAGGCCATACATTGTCCTTACAGATGGCGGATTCATGCCAAGTGCAACCAATAGAAGTGCGTGGCATGTGTCTATGCTAGATGCAGTATGTCAGCGGCTAAACATTTTGTATGAGTACTCCCACATTGTACATGGATTTGCAGCTTCCATGACACATGAGACTGATAAATCTCTTTGTTTCCGGGGGTTATGGCAGTTGAGGAAGACACACCCGATACTCAACTGCACATGACGCGAATGCCTAGTTTTCTTAGCCTCGCCACATCCTACGGACTACGTCCCAATGCTGGATATGGTGATGGTATCATAATTGGGTTTGTCCACACGAGAATTTGGCCGAAAAATGCAGGCTTCCGTGACGAAAGACTGTTGCCCTTAACAACAGCAAATGGTGAGGAATCTGCCAAGAAGGCATCAATTTCTCCACCGATGACTGCAACAACAAAATCATTGGTGCCCGCTTCTTTGCCTCCAGAATCAATGCTCTTATCGGTCGGCGAGTCGATGGCGATGGGGAGTACAAGTCCCCACGAGATGCTACAGGCCATGGATCAGTTGTTGCTTCAATTGTCGTTGGAGCTGAGATTTCCAGTGTCGGCGTGCTAGCCCCCAAGGCCCGTATTGCGGTCTATAAAGTTTGCTGGTGGCAGATCTGTACTTTAACAAATACTCTTGCTGCAATTGATGCTGCCATCTTTGATGGTGTAGATTTGTTGTCAGTCTCCATGGGAAATAACTCTCCCAAGCCATTTTACAATAATGTTTACATGATTAGTACATTGAAAACTGCTCAAAAGGACATTTTTGTGACATTCGGCGCAGGGAACATGGGCCTGACACCATTAACAATAGTGAACTCGGCTCCCTGGGTGACCACTGTTGGCTCCAGCACCATTGACAGAACCTATCCTGCAAAGGTCCGACTCGAAAATGGAGAACAAGTCCCCGACAACTCTCTCTACTGTGGTAGATCAATCACTGATGATGCTTTTCCCCTCCAATTCTATAGCACTTGCACCTATGACAACGTACCTTCAGATTCTATCAAGGGTAAAATCTTAATCTGCAATTTAATATGCAATACGAGCGATAGTTGCAGATTAAGATTTTACCCTTGATAGAATCTAAAGGTATGTTGTCATAGGTGCAAGTGCTATAGAATTGGAGGGGAAAAGCATCATCCGTGACTGATTTACCACAGTAAAGAGAGTTGTCGGGGACTTGTTCTCCATTTTCGAGTCGGACTTTTGCAGGATAGGTTACATCAATGGTGCTGGAGCCAACAGTGGTCACCCAGGGAGCGGAGTTAACTACTGTTGATGGTATTGAGCCCATGTTCCCCGCACCGAATGTCACAAAAATGTCATTTTGAGCAGCTTTCAATGTACTAATCATGTAAACATCATTGTAAAATGGCTTGGGGGAGTTGTTTCCCATGGAGATTGACAAGATATCTATACCATCAAAGATGGCAACATCAATTGCAGCAAGAGTATCGGTTAAAGTACAAATTTTCCTCCAGCTAGCTTTGTAGACGCAATACGGGCCTTGGGGGCTATTCCTTGTGCATCTCCATATGCAAAACCCAGCAAGCCGACACTGGAAATCTCAGCTCTAGCAGCAACTGAAGCAACAGCTGATCCATGGCCGGTAGCATCTCGTGGAGACCTGTACTCCCCATCACCATCGACTCGCCGACCGATTAGAGTTTTGATTCCAGAGGCAAAGAAACAGGCACCAATGATTTTATTGTTGCAGTCATCGGCGGAGAAATTGCTGCTTTCTTGGCAGATTCCTCACCATTTGCTGCTGTTAAGTGGCAACAGTCCTTTGTCATGGAAGCCTACATTCTCCGGCCAAATTCCCGTATAAACAAACCCAATTATGATACCATTACCACACCCAGCATTGGGATGTAGTCCGTAGGATGTGGCGAGGCAAAGAAAACTAGGCATTCGCGTCATGTGCAATTGAGTATTGAGTGTGTCTTCCTCAACTACCATAACCCCCGGAAACAAAGAGATTTTATCAACCTCACCTGTCATGGAAGCTGCAAATCTATGTACAATGTGGGAGTACTTGTACAAAATGATTAGCCGCTGGCATATTTTATCTAGCATGGACACATGTCACACACTTCTATTGGTTGCATTTGGCTTGAATCTGCCATCTGTAAGGACAATGTATGGCATGGTTGTCGCACAAGACAAACCATGTAATAATTGAAAGAAGAAAAACATCATAATTAAAGCCATGTTATTGTTGCATCTATTAGAGATCACACAAATGCTACAGAGATTGAAAGAAGGAAGAGAAATTCTTCACTCCCAATATTTGATTTTACTTACTTAAAACACTTAGGTAGTTGAGGTATTTATAAGCCTTAATACAAAATCTTCAGAAATCTTACACACATATATATTAGACTAGTTGCGAGGTGTCGTGTTTCGCATGATAGCCCATGCCCATGGTTCAAGCAATCTTAAATTGCTTGATTTGAACCTATTAGTTATCAATGTACAAAAGCATGAGCATAACAAAATGCAATACTTATACTATGCTGAAGGAAAATTTGCTAACTATTGATAATTTGTGGTTTTTTATTTTTATTTTTATGTAGGCTACATAGATGCAAAAACAAAACAAAGATCATTGTCGTATTCCTCCATAACAAGCATGAACAACACTTGCGGGAAGCACGCAAACCCCAAAGATGAAATTAGAAAAAGTATGTCACATATAATTACTAAAAATTCAAGCAACGCACTTGAAGTAAAAGCATTAATTCTAGGGGTACTTACGTGTAGGTCCTAATAAGTGGACTTATTGTCTAATAGGTCCTATGGAAAAAATTTGTCATAAAAAAAGTCAATAATTGTAAGTTTTAGCGACAATTTATAAAAATCATGACAAAAAAAGGCACTAATTGTCAATTTTTAGCGACAATTTTGCCAAGACTTATTTTTAATAGGACTTGATGGGAATTAAGTCCAACTATTAGTAGTTTACCCTTAATTATAATGTATAAGCTTCAAATTTCTAACCAAGCAAGTGTTACGGATAAAATCATTAACAGAAATTGAAAAGAGTAGTTATGGATGAAATCATTAACATGACATACCTTCTACGTTAATAACTAATATGAAGGTAGAATAAAATGGACCGAATTGATAAAAAAAGCTAACTTAGAACCGAAAACACAAAACACGAACATTAAAAAAACTTTTTAAAACAAATTGATACATAGCAATCTCTATACTTTCTAAAATGAATCGATCTAATTATCTCACCAAGGTAATCTCCAAGTTTTGAGGCATTGGCGAAAGCTTTTAAGATGAATGATTCAATGTTGACCTTTAAAAAAATAAAAAACATTGCTTGACATAAAAATAGACTCTAAGCAACAATTGTTTAATAATTGTATGCTTTATATTTCCATTGACAAATCAAATAAATCCTGATTAGTTACACGAAGTGTGATATCTAATTGACAAATCAAAACAGCTTCATGAGGTTAGTTCATAATTGAATGGTATGCCAAATATATGTTTGTGATTTGCATTCACCAACTTTTTTCTCCAATACATGACATATGAACAACTTTATAATTGACCATAGGTATAGATGCATACGTAGGCACATATACACATGCCTGCAATGATATGCATAGATATATATACATTTAAAAACACATGCCCACATTTGAATTTAGTGGTTGTCGATTGTGTCTAGTACAAAAAGACAAAACAACAAATACTACAACTAGGTATTGCATGAAATGCATAGATTTGTAAACATACAAGCCATATATATAGAAATAATCTAAAAATGAAAGTTTAACTCATTGAGTTACATTAAAACGATAGAACCAAACAAGGAAAAATTACCGTTGAGTCCTACTTTGGATTTAATATTACTATTCCTATCAAGTTTTATTATGGACAACTCCCACAAAAATCAACTTTATAAATTTGATTATAATTTTACCCTTCTCATTTAATATGAATAATAATTTCATAAACAATTTTAATTACGAAAATTATATTAAACAAAATATAACTAACAATTGGATCAAAACATCATTTTCTGTTATTCGAAACTATGATTTTTTATTTAATTTTATTTTATGGTAAACAATCCAAAAGGGCAAAAATTTATTAAAATTCCATCAATAGTCACAGAAAATAATACAGTGGTGAATTCATAAATTTTTCAATGGTATTATTGAAACTTTATAGGACTTAATGCTATTATTAAAAGCAAAATAGGACTTATTGATTATTTTTTCAAGAAAGAATAAAGCATAACCAAGGAATAAACTTTCGTAAATGAGAATTTTAGTTCCAAATGAAAATTTTGACTAATCTTGGTCATCAATTTTGTGACCTCACATCGAATTTACACACTTTTTGTCAAAATAAAAATTCAATAATAGTCCAACCAAATTTTTAAATATGAGGGCATAGGGCATAATCTTTTAAGTTAAATTGACAATGATAAATATCAATGAAATAGCAAGATGACATTCTTATATGAGCAAGACTTGGTGATTAGTCTAACCAATGATGTGATGACAGTGTTGAGAAGAGAATTATCAGGTACATACAATGGTTAACAAATACATAAAAGCACATTAAAATGGTTGATACTAATCACTTTGAAGCCACATACCGTTCAATGTCCTCTTAAATGATTCCCAATTGCAAAATAGAGCTCCAGAAAAATAAGTCATAGGGTAATGCTAATCACTACTAAAAGGATAGGTCAAGTACCTATATATATATAGCATTGGGCCTACAAACAGGCTACTTTGCTCTGAGCATGTACTCAATACTCTAGAAAATTTCTAACATGCATATTTAAAAGGCAAATAATGAATGAAGATGGCAAACATACCTTTCTAAATATCTATCCAGCTTGCAAAGAGTGACTACAAGAGAGACCAAACAACTAATCCAGTCACAGAAATTAAAGCTTGTTATAATCGGCCAAGACATAAAAATTAGAAAATTCAATACATAAAGCAGACACAAAACTATATAGAGAAAAATATTCTACACACCAAACAATAAAGTGATATAGATCTGTGGAAGATTTTTTATTTTTTTTTATAATCTGGTAGCAAGTCCCAAGGCACAGTGGACCGTCTCTTTATCCGTGAAGAAACAAAAATCGAAGACACAAAAGTAAATGAAATGTGAATTTTATTCCCTTTCCATTTTATGAATTATGAAACTAACCACAACACCTTGTGTTAAGAACTATGGAATGCTAAATAATATAAAAGATAACCTTAGAACTTAACATATACACGACAACAAGCATAACAATGAGGGTTTAGGATTTAGGATTGGTTAAGGACTATAATGGTCTTGTCTATATTTTTCTGAAAATATACTAAAATAGATTCAGGAGCCTCAAATAGAAATCCCAAACATATAGTCGGTACCAATATATTATACATTTAATTATATATCAAAAAAGGAAAGAGTTACAAACACATTGAAGTCAGTTTTGTAATTCTACACATTTGAAAATATCCTAAAGATCCTTCACAATAACAAAACCCCAAGCAAATCAACTAGACAAGAACTATATTCATACTAAATGGTTGCAATCTGCAAATTGCGCACAACATTGAGTGGAACAAAGCACAGTTTCTCTTTCACATCATGCATAATGAAGGTCTCATCTAGAGTAGCTTAATATTTTGTCAGAAATGAAGAAATAGAAGATAGAATAAGTGAAGAAGATGAAACAATACCTTGGACTTTGGCAAGAACTATACAGTTGAACTTTGCTCCATCTACAAATTAACCAAAAAACCAAGAGCTTATGCAATAACTACAAAAGAAGCAGATTCAATCATCTTTTACTAGGAAAATAACGAAGTATGAAAATTTAAGACTATATGACCACTACCTCTTGTAGTTGTGTGATCAAGGTACAAGGCATGGGGCCATCTTATTCGAAATGGAAAATATATCAACCAATAAAACAATGAATCAAACGAAGACGTCAAATATAAGCAAGAATGAATAGTGGACAAAACAGTACATGTAGGTTTACCTCTGATGCAGGTAAGAAAGATAATAGATTATATAGAAAACAACCAAGAAAAATCGAAGCCATGAATGAAAAGGAAAATAAATTTTAAAAACACTGCACCATTGCAGATTGAATTGCAAAGGACAAAAAACAATAGCAGAATTGATAAACACAAAGCATGAAAGCCACAATACATCATTTAAAATTGATGGGAATAGAAAACATAGAAGATTTTTTTTTACCTTGCGAGCTATACATCATTTTAAAATTGATGCCTTTATAATTTTACTTCACACGACAATACCAGGAAAGAAGAATTCAAGCACATCAAGGCATTGCAGTTTCATTCCCCAGGAAATTGCAATGAAGAAACTGCAACAGGTTAAGGAAAATAGGTTTAATTTCTAATAGGTTTAAGGAAAATACTGAAATCGAGAAGGGTTGTAAGGGAAGGAGGAAATTGACAAATTGAAATCTTACCTTGCGAGCTATAAATTGAAATCGAAGGGTTGAAGGGTTGATGAAGAGGAGCGTGACGAAGGACGAAGAGGGTGGTTGTCGATGAAGAGAAGGTGACGCAAAGTGTGAGAAGAAGAACAGTTGTGACAGAGAGGGTGGGTTTTTTCGTTCTGTTCAAGATTAACAGAGAGTGAGAGTGAGAGATAGAGAGAGGGAGATAGAGAGGGGGGTTGGTGGGCAGCCGCGTGGGTAGGTGGGCAACATAATTGATACATTCAACAATTCATCCCACTAAAAATATCATCACTAATAACACTAATACATTAAAAAAATATAAAAAAAAAAAAATACAACTCCAAGATCAAAACATTACATCATTAATGGCGGGACCCACTATCACCTAATTAGTGGG